TTTATAATAGATTAGATACTAAGGAGGGTGAAAAATATATGTATAAACTATCTAAACAAAGAGAAAAGAAAAGTAAAGATTTAACTCAAGTAAAGTGTATTAAAGATGAAAATCAAAAAGTACTTTTCTTAGAAAAAGATATTCAACATAGGTGGGTGAGTTACTTTGATAAACTTTTTAATGAAGTTTCTGAAAATACGATCGAACTTAGTGATTTTAATATCGTAAATAATAATAAAACGTTTCATTTTTACCGTCGCATTCGCAGAAACGAAGTTGAGGAGGCTTTAAAGAAAACCAAGGGTGGAAAGTCTGTAGGACCTGATGATATCCCAATTGAAGTGTTGAAATATTTGGGAGATTTGGGAGTTTCTTGGCTTACTAAACTCTTTAATATTATTTTAAAAACTAAAAAGATGCCTGAGGAGTGGAGGAAGAGCATTTTGATCCCCATTTTTAAGAATTAAGGGGATGCACAAGAGTGTGCAAATTATAGAGGAATTAAGTTGATGTGTCATACTTTAAAATTATGGGAGAGGGTAATTGAACATAGGTTAAGATGCATCACGAAAATTTCTCATAATTAATTTGGATTTATGCCGGGTAGGTCTATCATTGAAGCTATACATTTATTGAGAGGTTTGATGGAGAAGTTCAGAGATAATAAGGAGAATCTACATTTGATTTTTATTGATTTAGAAAAAGCTTACGATAAGGTTCCAAGAGATATCCTTTGGAGAGTTCTCGAGAAGAAATGTTTGATATGACTTATATTCAAGTCATTAAAGATATGTATAACAGAGCTGTTACTTGTGTTCAGACTGAAGGAGGATTGACAAAATATTTTCCTATTTCTGTTGGTTTACATCAGGGATCGACTTTAAGCCCATATCTTTTTGCTTTAGTTATGGATGGTCTTACTGGACATCTACAGGAGGATGTACCTTGATGTATGCTTTTTGCTGATGATGTGGATAAAACGAGAGAAAAAGCCCAGGAAAAACTTGAATTATGGAGGTCTACATTGGAGTCTAAAGGCCTTCGTTTAAGTAGAACTAAAACTGAATACATGGAATGTAATTTTAGTAGTAATAGCTCTAGTGATAGAAGTGTGATTTTGGGTTATCAAATTATTAAAAAGTGTGAACGATTTAGATATCTTGGGTCCGTTGTTCAAAGCCATGGTGATATAGATGGGGATGTTAATAGTAGAATTCAAGTTGGTTGGTTGAAGTGGAGGAATGCTTTGGGCCTTTTGTGTGATAGAAAAGTACCACTTAGATTGAAAGTAAAATTTTATAAGACGGTGGTGAGACCGGCAATTCTCTATGGTGTTGAATGTTGGCCTTTAAAAGAGAAGCATAATAATAAGTTAAGTGTTGTCGAGATGAGAATGATTAGGTGGATGAGTGGCTTTACACTTAGAGACAAAATGCAGAATGAGTATATTTGTGATAGGGTTGGTGTAGACGAACAAAATTAGAGAAAGTCGTCTTAGATGGTCGACTATCTGATGATCCGATTAGAAGAGTAGATGTTTTAGATTCGACTTGTGTTAAGAAAGGCAGAGGTAGACCTAGGAAGACTTGGGCTTATTGTATTAAAAATGATCTTAATTTACTAGAAATAAATGAAAATATGACACTAAATAGGACGCAGTGGAGAAAAAGGATTCATGTAGCCGACCCCACGTAGTGGGATTAAGGCTTTGTTGTTGTTGTGGTTGTTGTTGTATTTAAATCTAAATACTGAGTTGTTATTCTGATCATAAGATATAATTTAGTTTATAAATACTCAGTTGTTATTCTGATCATAAGATATAATTTAGTTTATAGCTATGTCAATATTTCAAAATGCAATGTTAAGACTTTCTTTGAATCTAAATTTCATATGTTTGATATATCTATAAATTCACATGTTGTATTATGAAATGAAAATCCAAGTCCATGGTTCCTACAAATAAAGCTGTTGCATGAAAAGTTGTATTAATTGAAAATTTATATACATGAATGTTTATATGAGCATGTTAATGGCCAAAGTTCCATTGTGATACTAGCTAAGTAATCTAATGTACCGACACATTTATGACTCCATTTCTACCATAGAAATGAATATGAGAGATAAAGCCAGGTTGTGCTGACAAGAGATAAATCAACTATTGGTGAATTAATAATATTTCTAGCACAGAAATAGTAAAAGCATATGAGTTCTTGATACCGGAATTAATCCAAATCACAACGGAAATGCAAATATTATTGCTGAATTTCAGAGGGTTACAATAAAGACAACTAATATCAGAAACAAAACAGCCTAAAAACAAACGACCCCTAGGGTGAGGACGAAAAGGTGGTGGACTGCAGCTGGACAGCAGATAAGTTGGCTGGTTGTGGTGCGACAGCAGATTGTAGAAGGCTAGCGTGGTTGTGGCAGCAACAGAAAGGCTGGAGGAGAGTAGGGGAAACAAGCACGAAGGCTGGAGGGATTGACTGCAGCAAACAGAAGGGTTGGAGGGGTTGGCAGCAGTAAGCAAGAGGGCTGGAGGGGTTGCGGCTACACACATGAAGTTTGGAGGGATTGGCTGCTGCAGACAGAATAGCTAGAGGGGCAGCAAGTAGAAAGGGTACGAGAAGGAGACGAGCGCAGGTAATCACCACCAACCGGAGCACCATCTATCCTCAGATAAAGACCTAGCAAACGAAAAGGCATCGACCACAAAAAGTTATGAAGCCAAAACTCTAAACAAAGAAACAATTTATATATAATAGTAGATAACTAGAAAGAGGCCCCTCTCTTTGAACAGCAGCCCTAACCCAGCCCTCATGTCGGCCGGCCCCTGCAGCCATATTTTGAACCGGTTCAACACTCTTCCCACCAGTAAAGCCCCTCCGAGGTGGGCCCCAAGTCATTTTTATTGATGGTAATATATAGGTAAATGATAAATTATATGTATGAAAGTCTACAATTAATAAGATTTTGATACAGAATATACTATTTATTTATCATGAAATGTAAAACCTATGACATTATGTTATGATTTCCTTGTCTATGATACTCAAATACTATGATAATGTAACAGACCATGACTAGACTATGAAAAGCAAATCTATACCAAATGATATGATCTTCACTCTTTATGATTATAATATTTCTTCTACAACCTATATTATGAAACAGATTGTCATGTCAAACAACATGTTTATGTCGGATCTTCATAACTTTAATCTTTTGAAATGCTCGATGATTCATATGCATAGAGATTCCTTTTGTGTTATGTTTATTGTTATTTAGAATTGGGATGTGCTTACAAAATTATATATTCATAAATAACAAACCAATTAGTTTATTACAATTTTTCAGAAAGGTTGTCTATGAAATAAACAGTCATATAGAGTACTTTGTATACAACAAATGTGAAGTATCTTCAATTAGGCATTTGTAACATTGCAGTGCAGCTGTTATTGTTCTTCAAATGTGTTTTAAAATGCCAACTATATGCAGAATGTGATGTTTTTAAGTGTTAGGCTTACACATCCAAACATATGGATACATGCTTAATAGATGTTTATCATTTAATGGTTGTTTTATGGATTTATCTACCAAATGTTTGATTTAAACTTTTATGAAAGTTTCTCAGAATGAAAAGTGAACTCAAAACTTCTCTTGCAGTCATCCATTCCAACAAGCTCCCTGGCTAGACCATGACAGCTTTCTCCAATGGCATGATGTTGGTTACCAATATGTATGTTAATCCATAGACCGTGGGATGCACATTCTAAAGTTTAATATTCATATAATCATTTTCATGTTGTTCAAATAAATTAAGCTCCAAGGTGAAGAATCATTTCTCCATTGAATATAAATAAAAGTTGGGTCAATGAATTTCATGGTGTTCCATTACTGACAATTAGTACCAAATTTTTATGTCCTCCATTAAATCACTGAAATCAAAACAATATGATTTGCATAAAATGCAAAAAGCAAAATCATGCACTATTCATCAATTACAGAATGAATTAAGAACAAGTAGCAACCTTTAGAGATATGGATGACCCCACAAGCTGCTTCGCTGTGTCTTGAATGGATCTTGTCGGATCTACAAAAGAAAAATGTATTAACTACAAAGCTCAAGCATATGTCACAAAATTTAGGGTCAATGTGCAGCAACACTAACATTAAATAAAATAAAAGAATCAACAATAAAATTTAGGTTCTATTTTGGATATCTTTTTGCTAGCTTTGTTTTTCAAACCATAACAACCCTAGCTTTTTTATTGTCTTTCAACTGCATTTCAAATAATATTATTGTGTAGAATACCTTTTTATAACTGAGCACATCACAAAAAATTCTACAGTGCAATGACATTCAAAAATTTTTCAAAACAACATTTCGCCATTTTATCATCAATATTTTAAGAAAATTATAGTGTCACTTTAAACAGCAACCATGTTCATAACAGTTTCACAATCAGCTTTACAAAATGTTAAAAATACCCTAAATATTCCCTAACTTAAGTAAAAAGAAGAAAATGATGCCTTTTTTTTATTTATTTAAAAAAAGAAGCAAATCTTGCCTTCTTTTGGAGAATAGTTAAAAATACCCTAAATATTCCCTAACTGAAGTAAAAAGAAGAAAATGATGCCTTTTTTTTTATTTATTAAAAAAAAGAAGCAAATCTTGCCTTCTTTTGGAGAA